AAATAATTTTTAATATATATAATACATTGTTAAAATTAAATATTTAATTAATTTTCAATTTATATTAAATAATATTAATGATATTTCAATTTCATTTATAACTAATAGTAATAAATAATAATTAATATTGATGAGCGCTGTAATTGGGAAAAAGATGACAATAACCACAAAAGTGTTGCCTGATTGATTTGAGCTTAACTTCAAAAGTCAAAAGTATTTGAAAATCTCAGGTTCAAATCCAAAAATGAATAAAAATTTATTTATGGCTATGAAGATTCAAATATGGTGACTCCAAATTATCTGTAACGCAGATGATCATTCTGAAATTAGTGATAATAAATTAGAAAAATGCTATTTTAAATAATATTTCAATAAATTAGGTTACGTGCATCTAAACATGTACTAGTAAAAATAATATTTGGAAAATGAAAAAAAGTTGTGAGAAAATTCAAACATCTTTCGTCCCGACATCTCTCTGTTTTTGCTTTTTATGCTTTCGGAAGTTTGGAAAACAAAACCTCTCCTTCTTTATCTCTCTCCGAGAGATTATCGGATCATATATAAATCTCCAACTTTCCCTAAATCACAAACATTTTCATGATTCTTTTCATTTTCGGAATCGAGAATTACTTCCAGACCAAAAATGGGTACAATGGAGCTTCTCAATGTCGAACCTTTAGAGCTCAAATTCCCATGTAAGTGATTCGATCTCATCACCAATCTAACGCCATTTATTTCTTTCTTCTTTTTCCTGTTTATATTAATCTGATTCTTCTGGTCTCTTTGATTAATTAGTTGAATTAAAGAAACAGATATCTTGCTCGATACAGTTATCGAATAAGACCGAGAATCATGTAGCTTTTAAGGTACATTTTGTTCATTTCTGATATTACATGCGATTTCGTTATGATCAATATCAGGGATTTTGTTTTTCATCGTTAATCTGAGGTGGTTTTAGAGAGATTGTGTGGCATGCTCCTTTGAAATTACAAATGTAGGAGTGTTTTATGTTATTATGATCTGAATTTCGATAAAATCGCTTAGGTTTTCCAAAATTTGATGAACAATTTGTAGGTGAAGACGACCAATCCAAAGAAGTATTGCGTTCGTCCGAACACGGGAGTAGTTTTGCCTCGATCAACATGTGACGTAATAGGTACATTTCCCTAATTAGGTTTTTCATCATAAAGTTTATCTGTTTTGTTGCTGAGGAATCCTCTGTGAATCAGAACTTAGTCCAGTTTGATCAATTATAAAGTCTCTGTTCCGCTTTCATGGTCCATTCACAATTTTCAAACCTGAGATTGAATGTGCCTCATTAGATTTGAAGCTACCGTTACATTGATATAAACAAAAAAACAGAAATTGGAATTTGTGGGTGCTAAGGTGGTATGTTTGCAATGAAACAAAGTATGATGAAAGTCATGCACTTGAACCTGCTCAACTGACGGTTAACGGCTAGGCCTTGGGGCTCCTCCTTATAGGTTGCCGGTTTGAGTCTCCTCAAGGTCATCGGGGATTTTCCTAACTGTTCTCTTTATGGGATCATGAGATTAGTTGAGGTGCACCCCTGGCCTGGACACCCATGGTTATCAAAACAAAAGTCATGCACTTGTAACTCGACAGCTAGGTGCTTTCTGGAACTCGGCTAGGAGCTTGCCTAAGAGTGGTTTTTATATAGTTTGTGAGAATAGCTTGAATACATAATTTTGATGTTCAGATCTTATGTTTAATTTAAGCAGAAGAAATAAGATTTCAGATAACATGGGGTAGAGTCAAGCTTTGCTTACATCATATCCCCAGACCCTACATTGTCTGAGATATACTGGGTTAGTTTGGTTTTGGTTTTTTATTAAGAATTCAGATAGTTATGGAACTTCTTTATTTAATTTATTGAACAATATGAAACTCTATGCTCTAAGTATACTTTATAATGCTTTTACCAAGCAAAATATCTCACGAGGGTAATATATATCTTAGATTCGTAGATTCAATTGAAAGACGGGGATTGTTCCATACCCTGTGTGGGATTCACCAGGCTCCTTTGGTTTTTGATTATACCATATCTATCGCCTGTTTGTTGAATTTGTGGTTTTGCTCCAGTAACGATGCAAGCTCAGAAGGAAGCTCCTCCTGACATGCAATGCAAGGACAAGTTTTTGCTTCAGAGTGTAGCTGCAGGCCCAGGAACAGCTCCAAAGGACATTACTCCGGAAATGGTAATTACATGCTTCATTTTTATTCATTACATGTTTTTGGAGTCCCACATCGGCTAGACTTGCACACTTTTGCCTCAATATATGTTTGAATCCCCCCTCCCTTTAAGTATATAATATTTATATACAACAAACAGTCATGCACACTCCTCCCCTTTGGTGAGATTTGAATCATTGAACTCCTGGAAGACTGGGTTCTACTGATAACTGGCTGGGGTATTGCTAGGCCACTGACTCTTTGGTTGGAGGCCACCCTTCTTAAGGGCTCTTTTAGAAAATAATCTGATAGGATTCCATGTTTCACATGGTATCAGAGCCAAGGTCTACCAATCTAAGAGACTCTCAACATTCCGGGGTATATGTACCCATCTAGCCTCCACTGGACGGGGCGTGTTGGAGTCCCACATCGGCTAGATTTGATCCTTTCTACTCAATATATGGTGTAACCCCATTCTCTCCTCAAGGGATCTTTTAAAGAGTAATCTGATGGGGTTCCACACATCTCACAACATGGTCTGCTTTGCAAGAGTGATTAACAGTTGACTGATATCAGATTATTCACTGATGTGGGTGATCATAGGGATGTGAAGGAACTAAGCCTTATGTATCCTAATGATAGTAATAAGCAAATACAAACCATTTATTATCTTGTTTTAATGACTTGAAGATTGTTTCTTTGATGGTGGTTTGAGTTTACAGTTCAGTAAGAATTCAGGGCGTGTTGTGGAAGAGTGCAAATTAAAAGTGTTGTATCTTCCCCCACCCCAACCACCTTCACCCGTTCTTGAGGAACCCGATGAAGGAATGTCACCAAAGGTGTCCTTCACAGACAGCACGATGAAGGACAGCACGGTGAAGGACAGCACGGTGAAGGACAGCACGATGAAGGACAGCACGAACCTCAACTCATCTCAGTCATCTGAGGTTGGTTTATGTTTTCGTTTTCAATTACTTTCATCGAATGAATTGGTCATCTTATGACACGCTTCCTCCTTTTGTTATGCTTGCAGGCTCCAAGACAATATGTGGATTCTCATGATAAATCCTCAGAAGTGAGTTCATCTTTCTGTCTACATTCATTATTTTAGTACCACAAAAGAAAGGATTCGCCTTCGATTTTATATGCTTCGAGAATGTAATTCATACTTCGTTCCTCATTGGGTCCATGTATAACACCTCTCCACATGATTCAGGCAAACTTTAGGCCTTCCGGCCAAAGGCCATGGCCCAAAAGGAATTGATAGTGAATTTCTTTTTATATACTTTCTTTTTTACATACACTTTTTACAAGCCAAAGGGTCTCCATGACAACGGCTGCTTTACTCTTCGGGGTAGAGGATAAGTTTGTGTATATCACACGCTCAAACCCCAACTCCAAGTGGGATATACGAGGCTTGTTTGGTTTTTATACTACTTTCCCTTTGCTACATTTACATGATGTCTACCAGTTTTACATCATATTACAATATCATGACTTGGTGAGCAACCCCTGACTTTAAAAGAAAATTGTCGGTTTTTGTAACCGTTGATACGTATTTCTCTTTCCCATCTACCAAAACCTCAATTTCATCATCTCTTTTACTTTTGGTAGCTTTGTTACTTGCAACATTTGGTTGGGTTACTTAAGATTTCGGATTAAACAATCATGAATTTACAGGCAAGATCTATCCTTACAAAGTTGGTTGAAGAGAAGAATGCTGCTGTTCAACAAAGCAGCAAAATTCAACAAGAAATGGTGAGATGTCTTTTATCCCATATACCCTCTTTCAAGCTTTTTCAGCCTTACTTTTACCAACAATATCTTAACCCCCAAGACCCTACCATCAGATGGGAATTGGGATATACCGACTTAGGGGCCATTTACCTAAATGCTTACCCGGTAAGATCTTGCTGTTACGAGTTAACATTGTAATTTATTTTATCGGGTAAGATTGTAGTACATCAAAATGATATCGTATGCAACAATCTATCCGGTAAGCGCTTACCCGGGTAAGAGTCATCACATTCATTTACCGAGTAAGACTCTTCATCTTTATCATTGCTCTTACCTGGTAAGATTTTTAACTCTTGTCATGTTTATCCGGTAAAGAAAATTACCCAATAAGCACTTACTAGATAAACATTTAGTAAACGCCCCCTTAGTTTATTTGTTTGTTTTGCTAACTAACATTGCTCCAAATGCATTATTATCAATTCCAAAGATCATTGCTTTACTGTTGATCACTCCGTGTGTGTTATGCCTTCCTTTTCGTATGTTTTCTATTACGTATTCGTTACTTTCTTTTTTACATATGTTTTTTTTTTCTTTTTTGTGCTTCTTCTACCATGTGTTAGTCTTTATTCCTTCCACCTGTGCTCACGCTCTTGCACAAGCCCCTTTTTTAAAGTAATATAATATTTATATACGACAAATGAACTAAAACACCCACTACCTTTGGTGAGTTTGAACCCTTGACTTCTTGAGATACTGCGCTCAACGGGTAACGCAGGTATCTGACCCTCCCTAGACCCTACTTTTGAATGCTATTTACTGGATCGATTTGATTTGATTTGATTTGATTTGATTCCTCAAATTTCCATCGTTTGGGTTTGACAACATACAGGATCTGTTGAAGCGTGGAGGCAACAAAAGTCAAGGGGGTGGAGGTGTCTCGATCATGGTTGTTATCGCCATCAGCTTGATTGGTCTAGTTCTGGGTTACCTCATGAAGAAGTAATCAACCCATTTCAACCCTCTTTTCTAACTTCAAATTCATCAAAAACAACTGGTGTAGAAAAGAGAAGAAATTCATGTCTTACATTAATTTATTTACCCCCTTGATATATATACATACATATATATATATATATATACATACATATATATATATATATATAAAATATATATATATATATAGTCTTGTGGGGGTTAGAAGAGAACCTTGTGTAGGTGGTCTTGTCTCTATAATTTCCATTTAAATTTCATAATCATCATCTATAGTTTCCTTTGATTCTTTGTTTCCAACTAATAAATGGTAGGTAAAACGGTATCGTATGTAACAATTTACCTAGTAAGCGTTTATCGTGGTAAGAGTCGTCGCCCTCACTTATCGGGTAAGACTCTTGATTCTTGTCTTGCTATTACCGGGTAAGATTCTTGATCCTTACTATATTCATCTGGTAAGGTAATGTGATTTGATGTTCACTTACCCAAGTAAGCATTTGGTAAACGGCCCCTGCGTTAACCTGACCAATTTTCTTTTGGACCGTTACATGTGTGCAATGCTAGTTCCATCAAGTTGGGATAAAAGTAGATGTGTTAATAAGCCGAGTCGACTTAAGTTGCGAGTTATTTGAGCTCGGCTCAGAGAATATATTTTCAGACTCGAGCTCGAAGAGCTTTCTCACAGTAAGACTTGAGTTCGAACTTAGAATATTTTTTCAATGTAAAACTGTAATTTTTTAGACAAAAATTGTAATTTAGAAAATATAAGGACAAAAATAGCAATTTTTAACAAACCAAAGGGACTAAAATCGTAGCTTACTCCATTTTCTAATTATATACTTGTATAAAAAGACCACATCATGAGGTTGTTATGATACTCACAAGTGTCCTAAAAGTACTTAAAGTTAATAGGATTAAAGGGCTGTTTACTTAAATACTTATCCGGTAAGTGTTTACCGATATAAGTCAATACTATAATTTATTTTGATGCGTAAGATTTTAGTATGTCAAAACGTATATGAATACAACAATTTACCTAGTAAGCGCTTACTGGGTAAGAGTCGTCATCTTCATTTACTCAGTAAGACTTTTCATCATTCTCATTGCTCTTACCTAATAAGATTTTTGGCTGGATGAGTAAATTTATCCGGTAAGGACTTACCAAGTAACCGTTTAGACCCCTAACACTCTTATTCAAAAGTGTTACTGTAAGTTATTAAGGTGGGGTTCGCCAACATAACAAATTCCAAAGTCTTTAATGCAAACTTATCCATACCTATCAGTAATATGCAATCTCGTAGTTGAACCAGATATTCTCGGAATCATCAGATCCAAATACATTCAGGCAATCAGAGATGGACCCAAATTTTTATTTTTTAATGGTGGCACCATTTACCATAAGAATAAAAGTTACAGAAATATAGACACACATTGGAATATTATGGTTGCACCTATAAAGACAACAATTTTTTTTCTCCATTAAAACTGATGAATCTTACAGTGGCAAACGCTACGTTAAAGACCTTGACCGATCCGTCCCTGCCAACAATCATGTGAACCAATTTTTAAGGTGGTTGTATCATATGAACCAAGAAATAAAAAAAATCCTCTTGTGGTCATGGATGTTTAAATACAGTGACCTCAGACTACTTGCAAAACAGATGATCGTCCTGATATTAGTCGGCTCTTATTACAAATTGAATATTCAGGTTGTGTAAATATGGCATATATTCTGTTCCATAAAGTCCATAAACTTGAAATCTGACATGATAATGTTATATGGGGTCATGATGATATGTTGTCTCCATTGTTATCATGGTTCAAATAACTCCATCATATTGATGTTAACAGCAATTTCAAGGAAGTTTCCTAAATCAACAATCAAAACAGACACCTGTCTAATCCAACTTTCAACCAATTGTTTCTATCCACATACATACATATACATGCATGCACATACATGTAAATTAAATCGAAATGAGAATCATGCCAAAAGGTGTTCAAAAGTCACATATTAAACAGGGTTTCTAAATTCTTTGGGATTTAATTATATTATAAGTTTATTTAACTTTACAAGATTTGGTACCACGTGAGACCATTTTTTTACACTTGAAACTTCATAGCAGAACGCTATGAAGGTAACCTTCACAGTGTTTTTGCTGTGAAAGTTCGGCTTTTTTTTAACTTCATAACGTTTTCCTGTGAAGTTTCAAGTGTAAAAAAAAAATGGATTCACGGGTCTCATGAAAACAGACTGGTTTCACGTGAACCCGACCCACTTTATAATGCTTCAACTTATAATACAGATATTAGCCGAATTTGTTTTCTTAATCTAGTTTTCGAAAAAAAAGTCAAAATAATGATTATATTTAAATGAAATCCACATGTAATTTTATAATTTTAAGATATTGTTACAATAAACGTGGTTTTCTTTTTAAGGATGATTTATCATTTACTGATTCATATTAATTGAGTTCGGCTCCAGTGAGCTTAAAAGTTATGGTAAGAAGGGTAAGAAAAGATTTCCATATTTGGATCATTTCAATTGAAGATCATCAGTACCGAGGTGCACAAAGATGC